TTTACCCGTTTTTCTCAAATCAATTTCAATTAAATTTTAAAAATAATTTTACCTTATTTTATCATTATTATTATTTTTATTTTCATTAAATTAAATTAAAACCTTATAAATTAAATATTAAAAAATTAAACTAAAATTCTAATATATATTAAAATAAATAAGAAAAAAAATAAAAAATAAAAAAAATAAATTAGGTGTTACAACTCTCCCCCCCTTAAAGAAATTTGGTCCCCCAAATTTGCCTCTTACTCTTGGTCGAACAAATAGGGATACTGGGCTCTAAATTCTGATTCTAGCTCCCAGGTAGCCTCCCTAGGCGTGTGGTTCTGCCACACGACCTTTACAAATGATATTTTTCGGTTGCGGAGTATTCTGCTCTTTCGGTCCGTGATACCGATTGGTACTTCTTTATAAGATAAGTCCTCTTGGAGTGGAAGCAGTTCATGAGCCAAGACATGAGAGGGGTCTGAGTTGTACTTACGTAGCATGGATACGTGGAATACATTGTGGACTTTGGAGAGCTCCGGAGGCAGTGCTAGTCTGTAGGCGGTAGTACCAATCCTGTCTAAGATTTCAAAAGGCCAAAGAAATTGGGGGTTCAGTTTTCCCTCTGTCGTACTACTAATTTCTTTGAAAGGAGTGACCTTAAGAAACGCCCGGTCACCTTTCTCAAACGCTAGATCTCTCATCCGGGTATCTGCATAACTCTTCTGCCTACTCTGAGCTGTCTGAATGTTCTTTCTGATTTTAACTATTTTAGACATGGTCTCCTTTACCAACTCCGGGCCGAACAATCTTCTGTCGCCTACTTCTTCCCAACAAATAGGTGATCTGCATGGGCGCCCATATAACACCTCATACGGAGCCATGCTGATGCTCACTTGGTAGCTGTTGTTGTAGGCAAACTCTATCAAGGGTAGATGGTCATCCCAATGGCCCCCAGAGTCAAGGACACAAACTCGGAGCATATCCTCAAGTGTACGAATTGTTCTTTATGATTGTCCATCAGTC